TGTCCAAAGGAAATGAATCTCCAGTCTTTAACTCTTAACCATAACGTCTTAATAACTTAAAAAGTTCTTCGAAGCTTACTCTGATCCCTGGCTCGACATCTCTCAACGACGATAGTGTTGAACTCCTCTAGCTTGCTGATCACGGACTGGCTGGTTAGTTTACCTCCTCTACAATCTGGTGAGTGAATTGGGGTCAGTCTACGCCTTACTTAAACTTGAAACGCCTATAGTTATTCCCCGGAAGCTCACAACAAACTCGAGAAAGTGATTTCTACTCTCGTCTTTCAAAACTTTAACTCTTGAAAAATGTATTATTTCGTCATTTAGCTTACTTTGGGGCCCCTACCTCGTCTTAGCTGGCGCCACTACTAGCCTTACTTACTTTCTTAAACATGACTACCCTCACAATGGGGTGCCCCTCAAATGGGTTTGAGCACCGCGGAACAAATCACCATCCGGTGTCAAACTACGGCGTGACTACCGCGGAACGTATCACCATCCGGTAGCACACCTAAACCTGGGCAATGGAGACCGCGGAACTTATCACCGTCCGGCTCCACGCCTGACCAACTACCGCGGAACTTATCACCATCCGGTAGTGATCAACTACCGCGGAACTTATCACCGTCCGGTAGGGATCCATCTAGCTAGTGGCTAGCTAAGCGAGGTTAACTTATTCTTACTCGTGACTTTCTCTTGTTCTTATCGTCATAACTTATTAAGCGGTTAAACGTCGTATGAACATAAACTTAAATGCTTAAATGTAGATATTGAAACGCTCAAACAATAATTCAAGTCGAAGCATGCATAATCAACACAATCACAAATCAAGCAGTGCACATAAACTTCACGTAAGACAAATACTTAAAACATGTAAGGCGTAGAATTTACCCCCTTTACACTCACCTTATATCCGTCGAAACCAACTCTGAATCTGCTCTAAAATTTCCAAACTTGCTCCAATTAAATTCTCCTCGTTCTCACGATTCCACAGGCGCTGACGATTTCTCGTTCGGACGTCAATTGATCGAGTTATGACCAAATTAAACATTGTGTCAGTTTAAAAGTACTAGGTACCAAAACTGAAATTTTCGAGTCAACACCGTTGACCACGACCTCTCTGGAAAAAATTACACATTTAATCCTCTAACTTCTCGAATTGCCAAGACTGATACCTGAACTGTCCGATTTGCGTCCCAAACTTTCGAGGCTCGTATCTCCCTCGTCCGACGTCGAAACTCAATTCCGTCAAGACCGCGATGCTCCTGGGATCGTCCTCTACGTGATGGTACCAAGGTTTCGAAGCTTGGTTGAATTCGATTACGCCGGGTCGTCGACGTACTTTCCGGCTAGCTCACTGTACCTTGTCGTCGATCATGGGCCACGATTCGAGGGTTAGCTTAACGTCTGATTTGACCTATGAGGGGCTGAGCTTGAAGTCCTTACCTTGAGGATTATGATTTCGTCGACCCAGGAACGGAGGATCGATCGCCGTCGGGAAGCTATGGTGCGACGAGATAGAGAGCGGTGGCGTGCGCTGTTGCTGTCGACGGAGAGAACTGGCGCCGAGAGTAAGAGAGGTCGGGTGGGTGCTGGGTTTATTTTTACGTTTCTTTCCTTCTTTCTTGACTTCCGCTGCCGCTGCGTATAAGAGAAGGGGAAGTGGGAATTGATGGATTTTGTTACTGGGCACGTTAGGGAGAGAGAGAGAGGAAGAGTCAGAGAGAGAGTGATGGCGTGTAACGGTTTTAGGGTCTTAATAATTTTTTTTTTTTTTTCTTTTCTCCTTCTGCTAGGGAAAACGCAGCTGATGGTGGTGGTCATTAATAGAATGATGATAATAATAATAACATTACTTATTAATGTTATTATTATTATTTCTAATTTACAATTTTCATGCTTTGTACGTAATCGTCGATCTAACTGTTCGGTCGAACCTAAACCCAAATGTCGGGGTGTGACAGACATCCCATTAAGAATGTCGTTTTTTAATTTGTCGCTATGTAGAATTGATATGTGGAGAGGTATTGCACTGACCGCATCGACTCCATGAGGTTGCAAACTGTCGAGTTGGAGACTATTGATGCTCCATACACGCCGCGTCGACTGCCATTGATTTCATCAACAGAGCTACCGCACAAGCTGTCATTGTCGTGATTGGTGTTACGAGACAAGTTATCATGATAATTCGACAATTTCTGGGCTTGTGTATCAGTTAATATATTTTCTTTTATAATTATGTGTATCGTATTAATTTAGGGTGTTTTTTATATAATTAGTAGTTCTTATAGATGTCCTAGTTGGATGAGTAGGAGACGTGTTGGTTGTTTAGTATTTAATTAATGTTTCTTGTAAGAGAAGAGTGGGAATTCTAGTAGGAAAAGGATAAGGAGAGATGCAAAAGGGTAGGGTGAGAAGAAAACAAATTTGGTTGTGTAACTTTATAAATATGTGTTTTCTTTATGATTAAAAATATGAGAAAATTGGAACTCAATTTATGTTTCATGCTTTGTTATTCAATTACTAGTTTCGTAATGGTCGTTTGGAAGTTGAGATTTCAAAATATGTATTTATCCAATACATGTAATGTCAAGATTAAGTCATTTTTTGGTTACATTTTATATAGAATACATGTATTATCTTTTTCATGGGCCCACATACAATCACTCAAAAGTAATGATTATCAATCTCTACTAAAAGGTGAGATTGTTGATAAGGGATTATATACCCAACTGTTCTTTATAACAAAAACACAATATAAACCTCCAAACAAGGTATTGTCCAAAATCATACATTTAATCAATGCATCAAATTACAATACTCAAATTGATTAAATAGATAAATTTGGAGAATCTCAACCTCCAAATGATTCTCGCCATTAAGGGGATCCTCTACTCGAGAGAGTCGAGCACGTATCCAAATTACGGAGACCAAAGATTCAGTCTTGTAACAATTGGTATTAGAATCTGGTTCTCTGACAGCGTCGGGGAGTGAAATGGGAGCGGATATGGTGACAACACCATATTTGTTGTTATTGTAACAACACTAGTCTCCAACCAATAGGAAGCTAGGATTGTGATGACTTTTTATTAGCTTAGTTGACCTAGCGTAAAATCAAAACAGGGGTATAATTGTCATTATGAAAAATATTTTTAAAAATAAAAAAAATACTTTTTTATTTTCTGTCCAAAATTATGGTCGCTGGAAACTGGTCGCCGGTCACCGGAATATGCTTTTTTGTCGCCGGAATATGCTATTTTGGCATCGGAATATGATCACCGTCGCCAGAATATTCTCACTGTGGTCGGAATATGCTTACCAGCGTCGGAATCTAGTCATCGGGGCCGGAATATGCCTATCGGCGCCGGAATCTACTCACTGACGGTCATCGGAGTTTGGTCAATGGTCTTCGTTGACCGGTCAATGGCCAACGACCACCGGATGTTATGGTCTGCATTGTGAGATTTATGGTTTGGTTTCTCATATTTTTGTATGCCTTTTGTGGTTTGCTTTATCGTGTTTATGGTTTGCATTAAGAAGTTTCTGGTTTGCTTTATCGTGTTTGTGGTTTGCATTGAGAAGTTTCTGGTTTGCTTTCAAAAAATTTGTGGTTTGCATTGAGGGGTTTCTGGTTTGTTTTAATATATTTGTGGTCCGCATTAGGACGTTTATGGTTTGCTTTTTTGTGGTTTGATTTACTGTGTTTGTGGTTTGCATTAGGAGGTTTCTGGTGTGCTTCGCAAATGTTGTGGTTTGCTTTGTGAGGTTTGTGGTTTGTTTTAGGAGATTTGTGATATGCATTCGGAGGTTTTTGGTTTGCATTAAGAAGTTTCTGGTGTGCTTTCAAAACTTTTGTGGTTTGCTTTGCGAGGTTTCTGGTTTGTTTTAATATATTTGTGGTCTGCATTAGGACATTTTTTGTTTGCATTAGGAGGTTTCTGGTGTGTTTTCGCAAATGTTGTGGTTTGCTTTGTTAGGTTTGTGGTTTGTTTAGGAGATTTGTGGTATGCATTAGGAGGTTTCTTGTTTGCTTTATTGTGTTTCTGGTTTGCATTCAGAAGTTTATGATGTGTTTTCGAAAATCGTTGTGTTGTTTACATTTCTCAGCAAGCTCTTCTCTTCTGGTGTGCTTTCAAAAATTTTGTGGTTTGCTTTGTGAGGTTTCTGGTTTGTTTTAATAGATTTTTTATCTGCATTTGGATGTTTCTGGTTTGTTTTATTGTTTATTTTAGGGTTAATATTTTCGTATGACCTGAACTTTGACCAAAATAAACATCCTGGCCAATCTTTTCGATCTATAACATCTTGGCCCGAACTATACACCAAAATAAACAATTTGGCCAAACCCGATGTTTGACCGTTAACTTGGATGGTCAAACGCGTTGACTAACGGTCAACTCGCCAAGTCAGAAGATCTGATAAATATTTAATTTTTTTCGTTTTTTATTTTTGGTTTAACTAAGGTATTAGATGATTTTTTTTAAATTTATAATAATTTAAAATTAGGTAATGTGTGCAAATTGTGAATTATTTTAAATATTTTATGTTGACTTGGCAGTGACATGGCCCGTTGACTAACGGTCAACGCGTTTGACCGTCCAAGTTAATGGTCAAAAGTCGGATCTGGCCAAATTGTTTATTTTGGTGTATAGTTCGGGCCAAAATGTTATAGATCAAAAAGATTGGTCAGGATGTTTATTTTGGTCAAAGTTCAGGCCATACGAAAATATTAACCCTTTATTTTATCATATTTGTGGTTTATATTAGGAAGTTTTTTATGTGCTTAAGAGATACTTGTGATCTGCATAACAATAACTCCTAACTACATACCATAAACATAATAATACATACCAAAATACTAAAATACATTCAAAGAACCATCAAAACCATATAAAATCCTCAAAATTCATATCTACATTAACAAAAAGTATATATAATTGCAGTTTCATATTGCTGATTCCTCATACAATATTTCAATATATATTGATCTATACTACTGCTTAGTCATGGAGCTGTTTAGCAGACTGAGTTCTTTGCTTCTTGTTCTCAAACTTGGCAACTTTCTCGAAGGATTGCTCGATCTTGGAGATTGCCTTTTCCAGGGCTTTCTTCTTGTGAACGTTCTTTGATCTCTTCATCGGCCTTCCCTTATGCATTCTGCTCCAGACGAACAGCACAACCATGGACAAATGTGAGCTAAATACAGAAAATGCTTTCGATCTGCTTTACTCATTCAGTCTCCGTCGATGCTGATTTCAGGATCGTATCCATACCTGATGATGAGCAGCTCATTTTTATTTATTTCTTCTTCCCACTGACGGGCTAAATTCAGGGAAGGAGTAGATCCGCTAAATTATTGAGCAAATAGCCTTAGCCAGAGGTAGATGACAACTGACTGACCTGGACTCATGTACAGAACCCCCTCCGGTCGGTGACGGTGACGGTCGACATCGGGAGGGAGACTAGCTCGAATCTGGAACAACACACATCGAAGCCGTTGGAGAAGAATCGGCCTTGGGATGAGGTGAAGAGGATCGAGCCCCTAGTAGCCTGGGATTTGGCTTGGCAGAGGGATGAGAGGACAGTGGCGATTACGGCCGGGCTGAGATGGTGGTAGTCGTTGTTGCCGGACCGAACGATGACGAACTCGTGGTGCCGCCGCTGCAATTGTTGGGAAGAATAGAGAGATCTGGCGTAGCAGATTTGTTAGAGGAAGCGGAGATTGGGGATCATGATTTAATTTGTTGCTTTTTGGATTTTAATTCAACTTTTAATTTTATCAATTTACCCTTATACCCTTGTTGTTATACTAACAATATAAGGACTATTGTTATGCTATCTGGTCCCGAGTGAAATAGAACATGAACAGTAAGCTCCCAAGCAGTGGGAGGAGACAGACTGTGACCGCGTGCTTGTTGAAGAATGAGTCGGCGACTCATAGACAATGACACACGTTAAGAATGTCGTAATTGAAAATTTGTCACTATGTAGGACCGATGTGTTGATAGGTATAGCACTGACTGCACAGACTCCATGAGGTCGCCAACTACCGAGTTGGAGACCGATGCTGCTACTTATCCATCAAAGTGTCAATCGTCACCACAACTATCGCACAAGCTGTCGACATCGCACCACCAATCGTAGTAGCGACCTCAACTATCATAGCAGAGGAGAGGGGAGATCGTGATCTCTGCCGCACAACCGATATCACCCACCATCAGCTGAGGAGCTAATCGCAGCTTAAATTCCACCAACAACATACCAGAAACTACTACTAGATGTGGCAATTGGATCGGATTCGTGGATTCGTGGATTGAATTGGTGGATCCATGGATCAAATGGATTGGATCCAATGGATTGGTGGATTCATGGATTGGATCAAATGGATTGGTGGATTGATCCATGAATCCAAATGACATCCAAGGATTGGACCAAAATGTAAAATTTGAAAAGTTTTGGTACTAAAATGTCATAATGAAAAATTTTAGGTACCAAAATGTAATTTTCCAATGATATTTTTCGTATAAAAATATAAATTTTAGGTACCAAAATGTAAAATACAAAAAATATATGTACCAAATCGTAATTTGCCATTTGGATCCATTGATTGATCCATGAATCTACCAATCCAATTGGATTTGGATCAAATGGATTGGATTTAAATGGATTGGATTAGGTGGATAATTTGGTGGATGGATTGGATTGGATTCATAGATTTGGATCCTAATTGCCACCTCTAACTACTACCACCATTGCTCCACTGCCAACCGCCGCCAAGAATTCCTCGTATGTAATCGAAGTTTTCGAAGAGGATTTGATTTTTAACATCAGCATTATGGTCAACTTGAAGAGAATTTGGCTGGTGATTATGATGAGAAGCTACCAGGTGGTCATGATAGATTGTGATTCACTTTCATTATGAAATGCAAGTTTTATGGAACTGATTTATCTATTTGTAGTGGCGAATTAATAATGTCACTCTTCCCAATTTCGATTATCTATTTGTAGTTGCGAATTAATAAATTCAATTTCCCTTAGCATAATGCGGGCTTCGGGTATGTTTTTTTACCATAGTCATCCTCAAAGGAGAGCAATATAGATACGACAATATATAAAACCTAATATGACCAGACTAAAATATTAAAATAAGAAAAACACGATGATCTACAAGTGTCTAACCATCGCTCCAAAAACTTATTTTACCACGATCTAGGCGGTTCTTGTTTAAGTCTCTGGTAACCCTATTTAAACTAGGAAAAGTTATATCTAGGTTCAACTTCTTTTTTACAACTAGGTTCTGAATTTCTGATTATATTAGACGAGATAAGTGTGCAACTCTCGAGTCTTTGCCCCACCGATACACGCCGCCGTTCTCCAGTCCTCGTCGCCTTCCCTTTCAGAGCGTCTGCCAATCGAACCCCCCTGTACCGACGGTCAATCCAAGCTATGAACAACGACAATGCTGACGACCCTGAATCTGGAGAGGTGCGAGTTCGGCGCAGAGGGCCTTATTCTCCCTGCCAGCATTCCGCTGCTGACAAATTTGGCCATCACAAATTGTCGCCCGAAACAAGAGGCGGCAACGAGGAGGACCAAGGTGTACGGGACCGCACTTGCTTACCCTGAAGCTGAACAGCGGGATGGGAGGCTGCAAGATTGAAGTATTCGCACCGAAACTCGAATCCTTCACTCTGCTTCAGGACGTGACATCCGAAGGGTTCTTGAATACGACCTTTCCTGCTCTGGATCGTGCGGACGTTGCATTGACCGAGGGTCGTTACTGTACCAAGCCTAGGCATGTCAAATGGGTCTTAGGGTATGAGTTTTACCCAAACCCAATTGAATTTGGGTCAAATCAGGTTTTGGGTTTTTCTGTTTTGGAGCAAACTCATACCCATTCAATTAAATTGGGTCCAAGATAGGCCCAGAAAATTAATTAAAAAAACAAAAAAATCTCTACAGAACCCAAACGGGTCTCTTCATCTTCGACATAATACCCTTAACGAGAGCTATTGATTCTCCACCATTGTAACCCGCCGCCGCCGCCCGCCTGCATCCGATTCTCGATCAGTGACCATCAGCCCCGAAGACGCCGCCGGCCTGCAATCCCGATTCACTACAAGAAAAATGAGCTATAGTGACTAAATATTGAGACATATATTATATTTGTCTCTTAAAATGTAGTTTATATGACTGATATACTAATTGTCTCTATAAAGATAATTATATGTTTCTAAAAGTTCTTTATATACGACAAATGCATAATTTGGAACCTTGGAAACTGGCGGGCTCTTGGATACGGGCTCTAGGAACCTTATTGAACCTTATGGAACCTTATTGAAGCCTTATTATGTTAGTGATCAAATAACTCGTTCGGGCTCTTGGAAACTGGCGGGCTCTTGAAAACTTTGAAGAATTAAAAACTGAAAAAAGCAGCGGGAAAGACTTAAGGAAAACTTTCAAACTCAATCACCAAAAAAACCCTAATAACTCCCGGCGGAGTCACGTCCCTCTGTCCATCTATTTTAATCACGATAACAAGAGTCTCAAAGGAGGTAAACCAGAGAAGTGAAGAAGCCGCATCTTGTGGCTTAGCCGACTGAAATCCGAAGCCGCAGCAAAACAGGTATCGTTATTGATTGTCACACTCCAAGTAGTAAACTCATCAAAGCTAGTCTTTGATTCTAATCGGTTTAAATTTTTATAACAGATTATGACTCGTTCGAGATCTCATTCGATTCAAAGGGGGGTTCATGATTCTAATCAAAATCATGATAGTGTTATTCCGGGTAGGCTTATCTTGCTCTCGTCTATATTATCATCAATGGCGTTGTCAATCTAATGAAACCTCCCTTTCATATGTTTTGCTTTACTGGGTTAGTTGTCGAATTCAATTACAGGCTTGATCTTTATTTGGTTTGGTTGCTTCGTGACCTGTCAACCATATATTATTGTTACTCTAATAATTGAGCAAGGGGCATTCTAATAAAACAAGAAGATGAATAAAGGTCATCACATTTATGAATCATGAAGTCACAGCTTCTTTTTACGAGTAAACTGAAGATTTGCTTATATTTAGATTATACTTTTATCACAGCATCATCACAGGTTAAAAGAAAAAGAGGTACAACTAGGTGCAAGGAGATTTGGGCTTTATCGAAGGGAGAAAAGGTTCATGTTCGGATCAATAGATATGGCCAACCAGTTGGTAGCAAAGCTAAGAAATTGGGCTACTTTTTGGGTACTTTAGCCAGAAACGGAGCCTATGCACCTCTCAGATATGCCGATTGGAGGAACATGCTCGCTCATTACAAAACTGAAATGTGGGATTTAGTACAGGTATGCGTATCCAGTCACTTATTAGATAATATCTTTAATTTCATTAGTTAGTCTAAACTGATTGTTGTTAATTTATATATAGGAAAAATTTGACATTGATCCATTAGTGGAACCATGGATAATGAGTTCCTTGGACAGCAAGTGGAGGAATTTCAAGAATAAAGTAAAAAATAGGTGGTTCGGGAAGAAAGAACGTGATGGAAGAGTACTCAATGATGATTGGACATGGCTCTTGGAATTTTGGAGTAGTAACAAAGCTGTGGTATGGCTCATATAATTAATTAGATCCTCAGTTTGTTTTAATTAGTACGATTTTGGGTTTTTATCAATATAACATAGTATACTTGTTTACAATTATAGAGAAGGGAAATTGTGGCTAAGGAAAACAGGAGCAAAGTGAAATCAGCACACACTTTGGGTACGAAAAGTTATGCTTGCAAGAGAGACGAAATGGTAATATAACTCACAATTTCTTTAGTGAATTGTACAAACAACTATATACTTTGAACTTAAATGCATTTTAAGTTATCATTTTTCATTTATGGATAACATTACAGGCAGAGTCTACACCTGATAAGGTAGAGCCAACTCCAGCTAAGGTTTATGTTGTTGCTCATGTGCGTAAGAACGGGACTCCATTGAATGCTCAAGTGGCCCAAGTTATTGTAAGTATTATATAATTGAGTACATATATGCATAATCAATAATTTTAACACTGCACTTTTTATTAATCATGACATTAGTAGACAATGACTTTCAAAATGTACATATGCTTCTAGGAAAAAATAAATGAGCCGTCTTGTCATGATAATCCTGGATCGCATGATAGATTGTCACAAGCACTCGGTGAAGACAAGTATAATCCTTCAAGAACATATGGATTAGGGGCATCTTTGGGAGTGAAGAATTCTCGTGTATCAATAATCAAGAAAGCATTAGAGGCACAAAGAAATGCTGAAGAGAAAGCAGAAAAGGTACAAGAGGAATTGCATGAGGTTAGAGAAGGACAGCAAAGAATCATGAGCTTGCTACAAAAACTTCATCCAAGTATGAGTATCAATGAAATGTTGGACTCAACAAACCAGGTAATTTTCTATTCTTAATCAAGCAAACTGCAATATTTTGAGATGGTTTTCATTTTGATAATCATATTCTTCTGAGTTATAGGAGCATCTAACTGGGTCACAAAGTAATGGAGATGGTATGAGTCCTGCTAGATATGAGGAAGAAGAGAACTTAGAGAGTGGTTCTTTCCTTCAATTGCTGCAACATACACCTATATCGAGATTGGAAAGTCAATCGAATGATGTAAATATCAATTTATTTATTTTCAATTGATAATGATTACTTTATAACTAGTTTAATTTACAATGTATATGTTTTGTTTCTGATTATATTAGGTTACACCAAATGATATTCTCAATACTTATCTGCCTCATCATCAAGGCTTATCTTCTAAAACAGGCACAACAGTTGCGAGAAACAACTCTTCACAAATGGTATGACGTCTTTCTATCATTTGTTAACTTATACTTTTTGCTCAAGGACATTGCTTCTACCTAACTATGTTCTATTCATTCTAATTTACATTCCTTCATATGATAATAATTATGGTCATGCAAAGTTAAGGGCTTTTATTAAACAAGTATAGATAGACAAACAGTGGAGTCAACCAAGCTTTTGATTATACCACTAACTTGTTTCTTTTCTTCAGACTAATTTGTTTTGTTTGATTTTTATCCTTCTTGTTTGCTTTGGGACTAATGTATATTATTATCTTCATAAATTATCATGCAGGTACAAAATAGGAACTTCTCATTTTTGGATTATGCATTGGATTCTTCTCAAAATGTTGATTCCTCTAGTCAACAAAGAACTGAGCAAGTTTCTTCAGCTGCTGCAATTGGTCACGAGTCTCAGGTAAAACATAATTGATGAGAATCATGTTAGTTACAACTTTTTCAGTGTTATTTCGATTGCATTTAAAATCTCAAAATTTTGAAATGTAGGAACTAGAATTTGTTATGATAAAGAGTTTGCTAAGTCCCGGCGTTGATGTAGCATATGCTAATATCCTAACTAAAGATCCAAAGGGCCGTGTGGCCGGGCAAGAGTTGGGTCGTGGTTTTTATGAAGTATTCGTTCAAGTCGGGATTCATAGTGATGAACCTTTAGTACGACCGTATGGGAGCTATCAAACGATTGGAGATGTGATTGGAAGGAGTATTGCTTGGCCATCTTCCTTAGTAAGTTAACTGTATTTGCTAATCTGTTAGTAAAGTGTTGTATGAGAAATAAATCATTAATTTTCCTTACTTTTCTTGCAACAGGTCACATCAACATCAAGAAATGGTCAAACAGTTTGAAGACTTTAGAACGATTTAGTTATGGCACGAGAATTAGTTTTAATAAGAGCATTAGTCTTTTGAAAGTTATTTTTTGTTGCTGGAATGACTTTACAGTACTAGCATATGAATTTTATTTTTGTTTCTTCCTACGAATTTGTTGGTATAAGGCTTATACAATTTCAATATTATGAAATTTAATTTCATGAATGATATTGTTTTAGTTTTTTAATTTTCATATTTAATTATTCTATATTGTTTTTTGTTTAGATTCGGATTCAATAAATTGAAAAGAAAATTCGAAAATAAATTTATTTTTATACAAATGTACTCATTAGAGACTAATACTAAGATATATAAAATATTATTAGAAATACATGTAATGCTCACACGAGACTCATCTCTCAAACAATTTATTTACACATATAAACAGTATTAGAGACAAAAGAATATGTCACCCAAGGGTTATTTAAACGCATATGTTAGTCTCAAAAGCTTCATTTAAGAATCAAATTTTTTTGTCTCCAAAAGTAACATTAGAAACAGATAATTTTGTCTTACAAAATGTAGTTCACGACAGATATAAATGTTTCCATAAGCCAATTATAGAAACAAAAATATTTATCTCCAATAGTCATTTTAGAGACATATATTTGTGTCTTTAAAACGATATACAAAGACAGAATAACAGTAATCTAAAAGAGATAATAGAGACTAAAATAATTGTAGCAATATCTCTACTCAGCTACATATGCTATGTGCATCTATATTGGTCTCTATAGGGCTATAGCAACAGCAATACTTGAGACAAATGCATAATTTGTATCTAAAGAGATATAGAATCAAATAAGTATATTGTAGAGACAAATTTCCTTTGTTTCTATAGACGATTTTTCTTGTAGTGATTCTCGATCAGCGACCATCGGCCCCGACGCCGGCAGCTTCTCCTTTTCCCCACCATCGGACCCCGAGGCTGTGGAAGAAACCCACTTCTCGCTCTTCTTGTGCTGGTCTCGATCTCCAGGTTTGCCCCATCTTCTTCTCTTCTAGATCTTGCCCCCTCTCTGTTTGCTCGGTTCTTCTTTTCCCCTGTATCTCGCGCTCTAACATTTCGTTCATCTGGGTTTGGTTTACTTGTCTCATCTTTGGGTTTGGGTTTTTTTTTTGTATATTGGTTCTGGGTTTGCGTCGGTTCAGTCGGTTGACGGCGGGGTTGTGTCGGCAATTGAATCTGGGTCGGCGACGGCGAGAGGAAGCTTCGCGGCACAATCTGGGTCGGTGTCGACAATTGAATCTGGGCAAAATGAGGTGGAGCAGAATTTCGGAACAGAATTAACCTTCCCTGCTGCCTGTTGTGGAATCCCTGCCGTCGCTGTCATCCTTGGTTGCTGCAAGGTGGAACAGAATTTCGGAAGGCTGCGGAGTTGTGGTGGTGGTGGAGGCGGCGGTTGGCATTGGGGGATCGGTGAATGGGAGGTTAGGGATGACGCTTGGGCAGGCATAGTTGGCGAGAGCGAGCTGGGAGACGCAGAGAGGACGGAAAGGTGAAGGTCGAGGCAGAGGAGGGACGGTAGCTGTTGTGAAATGGGTAAGGGGAGGGGAATTCAAGCACCTCTTGCATGTCTCTCTGTATCTGTTTCTTGTACACAGGACCAATTTTCGTAATATGTTATTTGTGCACAATAGTCCTGGATAGAGCTCAATTGGTTGAATTCAACGTAATGATGCACTCTCTTTGATGTTCCTGATCTTCTCTTGATTTTGAGTTCCACGATTCTGCAGCTAGCCACGTTAAGGTTTCTGCAACATCTCCTGTTCCCCATGTCGTTCTTAGTCAGTTCAAGGCCTGCATTGTGCTGCTGGGGAACTACTACGTTTTCGGATCGAATCCCAGAGTAATCAGCATCTTCGGTGCATTGATTGCAATCGGTGGCATTTCTGGTTTCACTCATCTTAATCAAACAGTGTCTCAAAAATCACAATCGAAAGACAAATCCAGGTTGGGCAAAGAGAACGGAGGAGTCGAAAGGAATGATGCATATGGGGAGGAATTTGTGTAACTAATTGACAGCACTAAATCTTTCTTCAGCTACTCGTGACTAATTGTATCCAGGGAAAGCCCACTTTGCATAAATTATCGGGTTAACCAAAATCTAATAAGCAGGACTTTCAACTAACCAAAATCTAACTTATACCCAAATGGACCTATTTGGGGCGGCCCAAATATACAGGTCAATTCTGGACCCAATCTAAACCCAACCCAACCCAAAAAAATAAAATGAAATTTGGGTCCAAACCCAATACCCATATGGGTCAAGGTATTTGGGTCAAAAAACCCAATAGGCCTACCCATTGACAAGTCTAACCAAGTCGCGGGTATATCACTATTTGAACTCCCTGTTCCAAGTTTTGTGTAGTGTTAAGTCTTTGAAGCTGGATCGCACTGTCTTCCAGGTAATGCTTTTTTAAGTTTTATAACGCGATTTTGGACTACATTGCTTATATGTTTGAACTCCTTATTCCAAGTTTGTCTGTGTGTTTTTTGTCTCTCCAGATACTGAACAATAGGTGTGAGTTTCTGGAACAACAGCCGTCAACCCATTTTAAAAGGTTGGAGTCTTTGATTTTGCCTTCCAACAGTCGACTCATGGACTACTTTGTAAAAGCATCTTCTTGCGAAAAACTAAATATCTGTAGTGGGAAAGGATAATGTTTAGTGATTTCAGGTTGTTTCTTTACTAGCTGGATATAGGGCTGTTAGTCGGTGCGGTTTCGGTTTAACCGAACCGCACCGTCGGTTAGCCGAAACCGAAAACAAGCTATATCCCCCAACCGAAGCCGACACCGAAGAGTGGATCGGTTAACCGCCAACCGCAACCGTCGGTTTCGGTTTGATGGGGCGGTTAGCCGAAACCGCCCAGAGTCTTTTTTTCTAAAAATTTGCTGCCTTTTTTCTGGGAATTTTTGGGTTGTCTCTCTCCTTCTCTCTGGAAATTTCCTAATCCAACTCTCGTATCTCTCTTTCTCTCTCAAAATCTTCTCCAATCTTTGAGATTTCCCTCTTTGACTCTGCTGCTCCTAGCGGCTAGCCTCTTCCCCTCTCACTTTGCAGCGACGGTGAGCTGGCAATCGGCTCCGACGAAGGGCGCCGGCGAGGTAGATGGGAGGCGACGACGACGAGGAAGAATGCAGGGCGGCGATGATGGAACATGCAAGGCGATGCAGGGGACGACGATGACGACGGCGATCGAAGATCGACTGCTGCTACTGCCAATAGGCCTTGGATCTGGAGGATGAAGAAGGGGTGGAGACTGAGACCGCTTCGATTCTTTCGGCTTTGCAGTTCGTTAACCTCCGCGAATGAAGAAGGACGGGATGGCGACGAAGACCGATGATCGATCTCCACTGCTGCAGCGACCCCTACTCCTTCTTGGCCTTCTTTTGCTGGATCTCGATGGGGGACGACAACGATTGAGGATGAAAAGGGCAACAAAGATTCTTCTTCTAGAGAGCCATGGAGGGGTTGGGACTTGGGTTGGGAGGGAGATTAGGGGGAAAAGGAGTGGCGGAGCGGTTATGCGGTGCACCGATTTTATCTCGGTTAGCCACCGACGGTTTTCGGTGAATAGAAATCACCAAAACAGAACACCGCCACCGACACCGAAGACAAGCAGTCGGTTTTCGGTTCGGTTAATAACCGCTCGGTTCGGGTCGGTTTTCGGTTTAGCCGAGAAACCGCCAACCGATTATCACCCCTAGCTGGATACATGCCTAGCTTACGAATGAGATATATTTATACAATGTTTTCTCTTATTTAGGTAGCTTACTGGTAGGGCTGGGCATGCGGGCGGATCATCCGCGGGTTTGGGCCGACCCACCCGCATTTGACCCGAATTTGGTTAAGTGGGTGGGTCTGTGGGTGGGTGACGGGTTGCGCTGGGAGCCATCCGTCGGGTGGTGGGTGGGTTGTGGGTGAGTGTGCGGGTGACCCGCTCAACCCAACAGCAAAAAGATCAAAGTCGTTGGCGCTAGAGAGGGGAGAGTGGAGACGTTAGATATAAACTCGGACTGCTCCTGGAGTTTGAACCTCAAAGCCAACCTTCCAAATAGAGATCCCCTCTTCTCCCTTTACTTTTTCCTCTAATTCTTGTGCTTAGATCACCACTCTTTCCTTTGTGGAATTATTTTCATTAGTTCCTTGCACCTAATAATCGTCTCAATCTGTAGAAAACTCTTTCATAATAGAATTTCTATCCAAGTTAAGAACTAATTCGACATTTTTCGCCCTATTTCAACTTCTTGTTTCCCTCGATGATTCTCTTCACCTATTATCATGTCAAGTTGACTCCTTTATATTATATACATTGTGATGTGGGTGAACCCACAAACCCACCCGCATCATCCACCATCCGCCCGACCCAACCCGAGACTAAATGTGGGTGGGTGGTGGGTTAAAAATTATCAATCCGTTTAAGCGCGGGTGGGTGTATTTTATGGTCAAAATCCACCCGACCCACCCAATGCCCACCCCTACTTACTGGAACTACTATGTCATTGCTTGTCTTTCTCCTCATATATTAAAAGAAAATACTTTGTATGATATATACTTTATAAGTTTTGTGAGAGGCGAGTTTTGTACTATATATGGTATACTTTCTAATTTTGATTTGATTATGAAGTTTCTGCTCTACTTTATAGATTTTGTGGTGATTAATCTATGTTTCTAGTCTTTCTTTAGGGCAATGTCTATTTTTTACCCAAACCTTTTTTAGATTCTTTTATTTTAATCAAATCTATAGAAATTCTATTTATTATCCAAACGTATTATAATTTATCAAAGTCTGGGCATTCATTCTGTTACCGTTACTTATTTTGTCCACGTGAGAGGTGAGATTTTGTTTTGTTTTTTGATAATCTTTTTAGTAAAAATAGTAAATGATGGTATTCTGCCGCCACGTAGGAAGTCAACTCATTATGGTCATACTTAGTCAGCATTACTAACAGAAAAGTTGACGGAGAGTTAACGTTTGGATAAATTTTAGGAATTCAATAGGTTTGGTTAAAATAAAGAAATCTGAAAAAGGTTTGGGTAAAAAATAGACATTGCCCCTTTCTTTATAAAAGGAAATGAGTACTCAAATGATATTTAAGCCCACTTATTAAAAGTAACAAGACTAAGCTCGTTTGCTTGTTGGATTTGAAAATGAAGGTTTTGACTTTTAAAAACTTTTGTATTTATGATGGATTTGTTGCATCATGGATTTGGAAGAGTACATTGTTTGTTTAGTTGATTTTTTATCATGGATTTGTGATGGATTTGTCTCACATTTTTTCCTTCTATTGTCAAATCCCAAATGAAATGTGAGATTTACAAATCCGTGGGGTCCACGAATTTGGATCTAAAAAAGGGGTCCAAATCCGTGGACCCCACGGATTTGTGTTCCTCAACAAACAAAGGATTTGTGTCAACTCCATGATGCTTGGGATTTGGGTTCCAAATCCATCACCCAAATCCCACAAGCAAACGACCCCTAAGAAAGTTAAAGTGATTTAGGCTTGGGAAAGATAATAATAGGCTTAAACTTTTGATCCTAATATGCTCAACACCATCTCCCAAAACTAATTACAAAGGTTGATGTATGTCCAATAAAAAGACGAAACAAGAATTTAAATTATTCGGAGCACATGTAAAGAAAATTACACGAAACCATTATCTAAATATCTCTCAACATGTTGAGTTACTAAAACGAATTATATTTCAATATAATATCAAAACATTACATCGAGATGTCTTGTATTCACATCATGACGATCCTCAATAATAATGGCTGATTTACAACGCTAGACCAGTGCTTAACTGTTAAACCCATGGATTCAATTGTTGTTTGAGATGCTTTATAACAAATTGGTTTCCTGGCTTTCAGTTTGACCCAGTAGTGTTACGATTGGAGTCTTTATGAATCATCCAACCAAAAATTATCCCCCCGCCTAATCATTGCACATTCAGAACTTCACCTTCTCCTTCAGGTAGCTCACAATCTCTTGCTGCAAAATCAAAGAAGACACTCCTGTTTTCAGTAGAGTATCTGCAACACACAAAGTAAAGGACACGGGAAATGTTGCTTTGTCTACAAAGCCAGTATGACAAAGAGCTGTGCAAGAATGGCTAGCCCGACTTACAATGAAACAGAGGATGAGGCAGCCAGCTGCACCAGGAAACAGAGCATACCAGTAATTCAAGCTATGGAGTTTCACCCCATCGATGAAGAGAAGGGGCAAGCTAGCCGCTAAATTACCAAGAGGAATTCACCATGAGATTAATTACGCACACCATCAAGCTTCAAAATAGTGATGATAACGATGACAGTACCAGGTGGATGGGTGGATCTGGTGTAGATCATGAAAGCAATGGAGGCAGCCAGCGCACTACTCCTCGCTAGCCATCCCGGGCCGAGGAACGTGTACGCCAGAACCCCGATTGCGGCGCAGCCGATTTGGGCCATGAACATGTTGTACTTCTGCAAGTTTTGTTAAGACGATGATGATGATGAGTCACATCTTCACAAAGGGAAGGAAGCAGCAGTAATCAAATCAGCAGACTGAGATTTAAGGATATACCCTGGCGGCGGGAGATGAAGGAGCGGTAAAGAGGACGGCGCAGACGGCGCCAAATGGAGCAATGGTGATTGTTACCCCTTTGGGCGCGATCATTTGATCCACCTTCCCTAGTATCGCCATTGCCGCAAATGCCCCTGCAGCAAAAGGTGTTTCAGAGGGTCAAATGTGGATTTCTAACCTCGAACCTCTTTTTTATGGGAATCTAAATCCCCTTAACCCAGTTAGCAAACGTTTTAGAAACCCTATCGTACGGGCCAATCGTTTCAATTGAAATTTGTTTGGGGTTAAGAAGGGTACCTGCAGAAGGCCAAAAGATGTCGCTGAGGGGAACAGAAGGGGATTTGTCGTCGGGCTTCCAAGCGTCCCACCAGGCCACATTTCCGGCCGCTGCAGACACCGCCAGCGCGAGAGGACTACTCCTTCTCCGCCGCCCATTACTGCAGCTCCCGCTCTGCAAGTTCAAGGATGGCGTCCTGTAGTGGGTTTTCCCGGGGAACAGAGCCAGAGGCTGTAACTTTGGCGAACTTGGCGGCGTCGAGTGATGCAGCAAAAAGTAGCTATTGTTATATTGGAGGGTTGGATGGGTGGCCATTTTGGGGGGCAAGTAAGATAATGGGATTTTCCCTCCCTTTCCAATCAGAGTAGAACTCGTCGTCGGATCATTGGTTGCGGAGTTGATGGATAATACAGCCAATTTCAACCCCTTGGGATTGGAGTATTTTTAAGCGCGGAAATTGGGAAAGGTAGGAGGCAGAAAGGAAAGGAAAGGAAAGGTGCGTAGCTTTGGCTTTTGGGGAGGTGGAAAGGGTGCCGGTTGGTCTTTTGGCAGGGGTGGTGATCTGGTGATGATAAGATGCCTGCGACTCTGCCGCCTCCCCCGCTATTCACTTGTCCACATGTCTATTGCCTCTTAGATATCCTTAAAAAACATTGCTCAGCGCAAATGAGCCGAACTGTCAGTGGGTGGCTCAGCATTCGATTCGGAAAAAAACTCGTCCGTAATTCGATTCGTTATTAATGAATCGAGTTTGAGTTTAACCTTTTGCAGCACGGCAAGCTCGCGAGCTAACTTCATTTGGTGGTTTGTTGAGCTCAACTCGTGAGCTGGCTCGTTTAGAGCTAATGAGATGCCTCGATCCTCAAGATTCTGGCTAGAGAGCCGCCAACTCGATTACCGAGTTATGAGCGAATCGACCTATATGAGTTAAATTTTGATAACTTATAGGATTGTTAAATTATATATCTCACCCTATATGAAGTCTAACACGTATATTACGTAAGCAAATATGTCTTCTATAATTTTAAAAAGAAATTATTTATCATAAATTACTTCGATAATATGAAATAACATTAATTTTCACTAATTAAAATTTATTAACTAAATGATTTGATATCACAAAGTATAACATGAGATTAGTTAATATTGGACACTTAACTATTATTATTATTTTTCATGTTGACATTAATCACATGTATCATGTATGACATACAAAATGAATATTATCAAATACGAGTCAAGATTTTATTAAGCAAGCTAGCTCGAACTCGACTCGGCTCGGCTCATTTGCAGCCCTACCGACAGTGTAGTTGGCGGCGGCGGGTTGATTCTTCAACTAAATCAAAAACTTGGGTGATAGACCATTGATTGCACATGTTTTTACCCCTATTCTTGAGCCGTTTGAGATGTTGATTCACGTGTTTTAAGCCGATTTCATGCTAGGTTGTGTGTTTATGTCATATTTCAGGACTTGGCGTTGGCATCAAGGCGAAGAAATGAAGTTTCGGGTCGAAGGGAGCACGTTTGAGTTGAAGTGTGCTGGAGGAGCAAAATACCCGGTCATGAGCAAAAATACCCGGCCGTGTATTAATCTGCGCAGACCGGGGAAAACCTCTTTTGGGCGTTTGAGAAGCAGAAGGGGGCCCGGGCATTGAGCATAAATCCCCGGTAGGGTATTCTTGACCTTGACCGGGGATTAACCCCCTGTCCTCGACGGTGCGTTTCAACAATCCACGGTCGCCACCTAAAATACCCGACCGGATATTCTGACCGGGGATCGCGATTGACAGCTTCTTAAGGCAAAAGAAGGGCAAAGTTGAAGGGTCCCGAGTGTTAGAGAGAAAAAGCGTATACCTAGAGAGAGAAAGTGACGAACCTGATTCTTCAAGCGCCTTAGATCGATCTTAATCACCATTGGAGCCCGGCTTGAGCTTGGAGAAGTGCTGATTGATTGCCAGAAGCAGAATCTCATCCTTCACAGTATGGTTTCCGCGTCTGAGCTAGATTTTCCGTCTCTCTCTATGGAGTAACTTTCTCATTCACCTAGGTATGAAGAACTCTAGATTTGTATGTTAGGTCTGATTGTATGAACCCAAGTACGAATTCATTGATTTGATTATATTCAATTGAGGTCTGATTTGTTGAATGGCATGAATCCTGATCAAATTCTGGTTGTTTCTGCTTTAACATAGAAAGAGAATATCTGCCTAGGTTGATAGAGCACCCTTGATTGAAGGTAGTGAATTGACGACTTTATTCTGTACCGGATTTACTCCGGTAGAGGAGGTTTGGTTCGTTAGGGTCTCAATCTGCTTACTCCGGTGGAGGTTAGTCGCCCGCTGGGGACTCAGATTGAGAGGGTCTGGGGACCTTTAGTCGAGACTGCAGACTGTTTAAGAACCTCGCGCAATATAACTATCATTGAACTTGAACTTGGTAAATTACAAACCGGCTTAACTGCAGTCTAGGGGGAACCATATCCGGGTGACCTCTCTCAACTTGAAAACAACCTTTAATTGCTTTGCTTGTTTGCTTGTTTGGTTCTTCACTACACTTTCACTGCTAAATAATAAAAACTCACGGAGTAGTCATCATACTTAGGACCCGGGTTGACATTAAAACCCGAACCCGCTATACTACGCTTTAGGAGGTCGTTACACTTGGTCATTTTCTAGAGTGACGGTAGAAGCGAGTCATTGGGAACAGGGAAAATGCGTCGGAGATCAAATTTTTGGCGAAATGGATGAGATTTCTGAAATTGAGTATGGAAATCCTCTGGAAGACACAAAGGCGATGCCTACCATTGTAATCAACGCCTCCCCACGGTTTGTGTCGTCTGATTCACCCCGCTCTCGAAATCAAATCCCAGCGCATCATTCCCTTCTCCCCATCGCCGGAATTAAGTCCCGCTGTCGTCTGTCCAAGAGCGAATCAACAACGGTGTCTTCAATGTACATGAAAAGTCTGAAAAGCCTGTCGATGGTGGGCATCAACGACGGTCGGCGGCTGATAGTGGGAATCAGTGGCCGATAGGCGACGACAGACAATGGCGACTTGGTGATGGAGCGTGGATTAAATTTTTCTTTAATGGGTTTGTTAGAATAAATACCGGTTAAAAATAAATATAGGAGAAGGATAAAAATGTAAGTTTAATGTTTAAATTAGGGCGATTTAGTGAAAGTAGGGCGACATTTAGCAACTCCCTTTTCCTAATTACACACAATTTTATTATAAAATTATGCTGAGCCGAATGGCTAAAATGGATAAACGTACAAGGGCTATATTAATTCCGGATCCAGAGGAGGGCTGGGCCGTGGCCCGGGGTGGCCACCCCCTGGATCCACCACTGAGCAGAACACAGACCAATGCATTGCAGCTGCTAGTAGTAGAAACCATCTTAGAAGATTCATCTTCGGAGCTGAAATCCCTCCGCTTCCTAGCATTTCCGGCGGCGGCGCCACTATGGTCCGTCATCGAGGATTCCTCAGCGGACCCATATGGGTGTCCAATTCCAAACCCAATTGCAGAGGCTAAATTGCCCACTCGGAGGCCCAACCCAGCAGCACCGGCTTCCACATTGATCCCCTGAAATGGCCAAATCTCCGCCAAGCTGTAAGAAGAAGTGTTAGTGAATGGTATATGATCCACGATTGAATCTCTCCCAACAACTCGAGTTATTGGGATTAACTGGTTCTCCTTGTTGTAAGAACCGGGCCGGACCGGTGAACCGGACCGGAAGAACCGCCAACCGACACTAATAGCGGGTCGGCTCATGTAGTCACACGGCTAATACTGGGCCGTGCGGTTTTGGACGTTCTGTAACTAAACCGGGGGAACCGGCCGGTCTAAGTGGTCCTGCGGTCCGCTATTCCAAGAATAAAAAATTTGAAAACAGAGATAGGAAACTTGAATGTCGCCGACCCAAAACTAACTTTCAAGTTACAACCGTAAATCCTAATAGAATACTTAGGTATATACTTTCTCTTCTTGTTTCTGTACCCTAGCGCTTGCTCCTTTTTTCCCCTCTCTAGCTACAGCCGTCAGCCGGCCAACCCTCTGCTCGTCCAGCCTGCTAACCCTCTGCTCGCTCCACAAACAGGTATTATTTGATTTATGTCCCTCTGATCAATCACTTGTGCAGTTGTAGTTACTCCAAGCTATCTCGCTTTTTTTTTTCTGGCACAGATGTACTGTTGCTTCTCACGTGGGGTGCAAATATGGAGATGCTTGTCATTATCTCTCTTTCTTTTATAAAACTATATATTAATGTTGTACACTTGTTGTGATACTTCTCTGCATTGGGTTTTTTGTGTGTATAAAAGATGAGGCTTTTCTTTTATAGAAATAGAAGCAATTGTCGTTAGGGTTGCTACTTGCTATGCGGATCGAGCACTGACTCTTGTCTTCTTCCTCTATGAACGGGGACTGTACCTTTGTATAATAATTCATTAATTTGTAAGAGACTTAGAGTTTTTTTTATGATGGATAATAGGGATTTTGATTGTTTATGATTGATGGGAATTTAAGTTTTGAGTTAGTCAATTATATGTGTTTTTCTATTTTATATGTGTGAACGGTTTTATAAACGGTTCACCAACGGTTTTATAACGGTTAACCATTGAACCGTGAACCACTAACCTTTCCGGTTCAGCTTCCGGTCCGGTTCTGAAAACAGAGCTGGTTCTTGACATTGTATCAGAGCCTTATGTGACCGAAAGGTCTTGTGTTCGAATCCCGGTGACCCCGTTTGTGAAGCACATGGTATCGTGTATTCAGACCTGTGCAAACGAAAGCCTTATCCACTATTGAATCTCTCCCAACAACTCGAGTTATTGGGATCCGGGTGGGTATAGCGGAGGTGGGGATCCGAATGGTGGGAGGATTTGCAGAGGAAAAGAAAGAAAGCACGAAAAGGGAAAGAAAAGGAAACTTGTGTTGTTTGCTTGTTTTGGGCTCAAGGAAGAGAGAGAGGGTAGTGAAGTGGAAGCTTTGATGGGTTATTTAAGAGGTTCTGATTTCACTGAGGGCAGAAGGAGGTGGAAAAAATCCCAGAATACTCAAGTTATTAAAAAAAAATTCCCTAAATACAGTACTTATAAACTTATTTCCCAAAGTGCAGCAGTTTCAACATCACTGTTGTAGACAAAGACAGTGATTCTAATCACCGCTTTAGTTTAAAACATTGAAGGTACGGGGAAGGTATCACCGCCTTCGACGAAAGCGGGGAACATATCACCGCTTTTAGCAACAACGGGGAAGGTATCACCGCTGCTATAAAAAACGCTGATTGCCTCACCGCTGTTGTGCAAAATGGTGATATTTGACCACGTTTTAGAGCCCTGGTAGGTGGAAAATTAGGTCACAGCGACCTAGCTATCATTGTTTTGGACAAAAGCGGTGATGTGTTCACCGCAATTGTTTGCTGCAGTGATTAGCTGACATTTTTTCCCTATAAAATCCGA